GGGCCCACCCTAGAGTTATATCTTAATATATTTAACTTCATACAAGTCTATAGTTTTAGTTATTTTATACATAAACTTTTCATCTTTTTTGCAATTTTTAAATTTTAGCTAGCATATTCTTAGTTATTGAGCATTAATGATTATATTTTAAAACGTATCTATACCTAAGTAATTATTTTTCTACCTAATATTATTCATGTTTTATTCAACTTTTTCTTAATCTTAATGTTTATTTTTTCTACTTATTATTATCTTAGTTTTTTTTATATTTTTCGTACCTATTATCTTATTTATTTATATTTTAAACTTATTTCAAATAATTAGTCTATAAATTAATCTATTTCTGATCAAATTCCAATAATGTGGAAACGTGCTATTGTATTATACCTATTCCAAAACCCGAAAAGGAAAAATGAATCACCTTTTCTCTAAATACAATGTTCAAAATTGACGAAAAAAGCATTGATACCCGGTTGAGATAGTTTCTCGATATTGATAAAATAAACTATTTTTCTTCCTAACAAACTGGCTGTCGCAAAAATCGAAGCACATTCAACAATCTACACATTATTCAAAATGAAAATTTCAAAAAGAAACCAGTTCTAGGGATAGTTTCCCTCGATATACCAAAAGCATTTAACCATACTATATGGCACTACCTGACGGCCTCGGATACTACTGGATACCGTCTTTCTGCACCAAAATATCACAAATTGAAACTTCAGTATCATTAGAGCCCAGTTTAAAATCGCAGAAAATCTTGATAAAGCACTGAGTCCAGATCCAGCGACAACACCAATATTTTTTTAAATATTTAAAATTAACTAAATTGTACAGGCCAGTATCTTTATACTAAAAACAATATTCAAAATTCTCGAAAAAAATCATTAATACTCAGTTGAGATAGTTTCTTGATAAAATAAATTATTTTTCTCTCTAACTGGCTGTTACAAACATCGAAACACAAATAAGTATACAACATTCTACAAGTCATTCAAAACAAAAATTTTAAGAACAACCGAAACCAAACCAGTTATAGGGCTAGTTTCTCTCGATGTACCAAAAGCCCCACTAAAAGCATTTAAGCATATCATTATGACACTACCTGGAGCTCTCTGATACTACTGTCTACTTGATACCGTTTCTCTGCACCAAAATATCACAAATTAAAACTTCATTAGTATTGGAGCTCAACTTGAAATTGCAAAAAATCTTAATGAAGCACTGAGTGTCTGAGTCCAGATCCAGACAACACCAATTTTTTTTTTAAATTAACTAAATTGTACAGACCATCAGTATCTTTACAAAAATACAATGTTCAAAATTCTCAAAAAAAGCATTTATACTCGGTTGAGATGGTTTCTTGATAAAATAAATAATTTTTCTCCATAACAAACTGGTTGTCGCAAACATCGAAGCACATACCTACAAGTGTACAACAATCTACACGTCATTCAAAACGAAAATTTTAAAACCCTCCGGAACCAAACCAGTTCTAGGGCTAGTTTCCCTCGATACACCAAAAGCATTTAACCATATTATGATTTATGACACTACCTGGGGTCCTCACATACTACTATGGACACCGATTCTCTGCACTAAAATATCACAAATTGAAACAACAGTATCATTTCTAGCCCAGCTTGAAATCGCAGAAAATCTTAATGAAGCACTGAGTCCAGATCCAGCGACAACACCAATATTTGTTAAAATATTTAAAATAAACTAAATTGTGCAGGCCGCAGTATCTTTATACTAAATACAATATTACAATGTTCAAAATACTCGAAAAAAGCATTGATACTCGGTTGAGATAGTTTCTCGATAAAATAAATTCTTTTTCTCCCTAAGTAACTGGTTGTCGCAAACAACGAAGCACACACAAGTGTACAACAATCTACAAGTAATTCAAAACAAACATTTTAAAAACAACCGAAACCAAACCAGTTCTAGGGCTAGTTTCTCTCGATGTACCAAAATCATTTAAGCATATTACCACACTACCTGGCGCTCTCGGATACTATTATGGATACCTTTTCTCTGCACCAACACATCACAAATTGAAACTTCAGTATCATTAGAGCCCAGCTTGAAATCGAAGAAAATATTTTTGAAGCACCGAGTCCAGATCCAGCGACAACACAAACATTTTTTTTAAATATATAAAATGAACTTAAATTGTACAGCCTAATGTAACAGGTCAAATTGCGTGTATCATAATCGTACTACAGTGTTTGCCAAGTTCCTTATAAAAAGGAATTCGTTCCGTTCCTTGTTCCTTTTTTAAAAAAAGGAATTCGTTCCGTTCCTTGTTCCTTTTCAAAAAAAAAGAATTCGTTCCTTTGTCGTTCCTTTGGAAAAAGAACTAGTTCCTTTTTTAGTTCCAGATAAAATAAAAATTCTTATTTAATCATCAGTTTTTTTCTTAGCAGATATACTTGGTACTTTAATTTTTAATTATACTTATACATACCTACAAGTAAATTTATAATTTACTGTTTAAGAAAATAATACTGACTGCAGTTTTTAGTAATCTATTTTGAGATTTTCTTTAAAATTAAACGTATGTCAACTGTCTTATCATATTTTATTGTTGTTATAAATAATTATCTTTAAAATAATATTGTAATGTCTTATTAATATAGTAATATATTATTATACATTTTAGCTGTAGGTACTAAGTATTACAATAGTCCCGACCCGCATAATAATAATTCATAAATGATTTTTAACCTACAGTGTTCATGCTATTTTATTTTCCGTCGACAAGGATTTATATTTTATATAGTAATAATGTAATAATATAATAGTATATACCCATTTCTATATATTAAGTTATAACTTATGAGAAATATTAATAAAGTTACTAATGACTAATAATATGTAATGAGTACCCTGTGCCAGAGTACCTACCTAATGATTAATGACTAACTTTAACGTTTAAGTTTGATACTCGGATACTCGATAGTCGATAACGATCATAATATTGGAAATATACACACTAAGAAAAAAAATATTTGAATTTGAATTATTTATATATCTGTGTAAATTGGAACTTGAAAGGAACGAAAAATTTCGTTCTTTTTCCTCGAAAAAAAGAACTCGTTCATTTCCTCGTTCTTTTTTTATAAAAAGGAATTCGTTCAACTTGCCGTTCCTTAAAAAGGAATTCGTTCCAGGAATCCGTTCCTTTTGGAACTCGTTCCTTCCAAACACTGTCGTACTATAAAGTACATGCCATAATTGTTGTTGCGGCTTGAATAAAAAAAAAAATAATCTATTTCGGTTTTGTTTTTGTTTGATTGTAACAGTTATAACTTACAAATTACAATATGATATATACGAGTAATAGCCGTCCACACAACAAAATAAATAATAAAATATAATTTGTCGTGGCGATTCGTCCCGAGCAACGACGCCATGTCATATAATAGCAGTATACCGTATGTCCCCGAAAACTGGATAGGTAGTAGGTACACTCTACTATAATTCACTTACCTATACCTAAATTACTCAGTAGGTACCCTACAAATATTTTATAATAGGTACACATGGTTAAAGTTTTAAAATTTCATGAAATTTATTTCCTTAAAATATTTAATGAAATATTTAATTTTAATGAAAAATAAAAATAAAATGTTTATTATATCTAAAAGTGTATGGTCATCAACTGATCAACTTCTAAGTGAGCATTTTTAAAAGTTGGTTTATTGTATGAAACAAAGAAAATATGTAACATATTTACATATAATTTATAAGTTGCTTAACAAATCTATGATACATACTCATAAGAAATTATATGATCTAAGTATTAAATAATGAGTCCAGAGCACCTTTACATCACTCAGCCACATACACACACATATTGTACGGCTTTTGTACACTTATAATTACTGAAAATACACTATTATTTCATTCACTGTTTGAATTGACTTCAACATTATTTCAAACCATTATCTTTTGGATAGCTGACGGCCCGCATACAACAATAGGTATTTTAAAACTCACGTAAAAAATGTTTTTATTCTCGAAATAATGCCAAGAATATTTTTCAGTACTACATAATATTATGAAATATGTTGTCTCCGTCTTACTAGTTACCAACGCTGTAACGCACACAAAATTATTATAAAACTATTATATTATTATAATTATTATTATCAAACTTAAATGTAAGAACATTATCTGTGTTCTCTCGTAGGGGTTTTAGGATATTTAAATTTTTAAGTCATTTATTTAAGTATGTAAAATATTCATATACTTGAATAACACTGCATTAGAACACTCATTTCCCTTACTGGCCTTACTTTTGAAGTTATACTTCTTTACGCACGGTAGTGAGGAAAAATAAAAGCGCGAACGGGCGGCCGTACGAACGCGAAAGCTTACATGTCCGTAAATAAATAAATATTGTCATGGTAATGTTGTTTTATTATATATTATAATATATATACCTACATATATATATATATCTGTATACCGTCAACCGGGCCAACTTGGGGCGCGTGCTTAACTTGGGGCAAAAATATTATCTTTTAGTTTTACCTCCATAACGGTCTCTTATCAATTAATTGATGTGATACAAGTATTCTGTTGTTATCTTAGAAATATTTAAAATCATTTTACAAGTGTCGCAGCATCAAATTTTAAACGTAAGTATTAATTTTTATTAATTCTTTTTGTGTCTAATATCTATCGTTTTGAAAAGGTCCAAAAACTTACACTAATACTCATTGAATGAAACGCTTTACATAAAAATCAATAATAAAACATATGTTCGGATGCGTGTAAAATTTACTACTCCATAATCTAAATTATTATAATCCTGCATACATATCTGTAAATTACGTTTAACTCATTTAGTCCAAATTGGGGCATTGTTCTTCAACCCTGGTCCAAGTTATACCTAGGATCATTAAATTAAATTTAAACAAGACTAACTTAGCTAAAATTTAGTCTAAATACTACTTAGGTATATTTATATTTTTAACTATGTACAGATGGGTAGATGCCGGAAAAAAATTGGTGGACGAACATACAAAAATTTTTCTGATCATGATTTGCAAAGAGCTGTTGCTCTCGTTAAGAACGGTGTTTTAACTGAGCGTCAAGCAGCTGAACAATTTGGAATTCCAAAGTCTACAATTAATAGAAAGAGAAATAAGAAAAATTTGAAGCCTGTTGGGAGACCTTGTGTTTTATCTACAATAGAAGAATCTATGTTGTTGGACGGACTAGTTACAGCTGGGAAATGGGGATTCCCTTTGACATCAAAAGACATTGGTTTTATTGTAAAAAATTATTTAGACACTGAAGGCCGTAAAGAACAAAGGTTTAAAGATAATTTACCAGGTCAAGACTGGCTAAAATTGTTTTTACATAGGCATAATGATGTACTAACAGTTAAACTATGTGAAAACATAAAGCGAGCTCGGGTAGCAGTGAGTTGTGATACTATAAATTTATTTTTTGAAGAACTTACTAAAACAATTGAAGGTGTTGATCCGGAACTAATTATTAACTACGACGAGACAAACATGACAGATGATCCAGGAAAAAAAAAAGTAGTTGTGCGCCGTGGCACTAAACACGCAGAGTGTATAAAAGATACATCGAAGTCAAGCACCTCCGTTATGTTTTGTGGCACAGCATCAGGAGTTATATTACCATTATACGTAGTATATAAAGCTGAACATTTATACAATACTTGGACCTATAATGGACCACCTGGTACTAGATACAATAGGTCACGTAGCGGATGGTTTGATATGACGTTGTTTGAAGATTGGTTTTTTAGTATAGTGATGCCATATTTTCGAAAATTTCCAGATAAAAAAAAAGTTATGATCGGAGATAACTTGGCAAGTCATGTATCAACAAAAGTGATAGAATCTTGCAAAACAAATAACATTTCATTTGTACTTTTACCACCTAACAGTACACACTTAACACAACCCCTTGATGTGGCATTCTTCCGGCCTTTAAAAATGAAATGGAAAAAGCAACTGGATATATGGAAGGATAAGAATACGGGTGTTCTTCAAAAGTCTCAATTTCCCAATATTTTAAATAAAACAATGAAAGAATTAGGGCCTAACGCATCAAAAAATATCATAGCCGGATTTGAAGCTTGTGGTATAGTACCTTTAAATCCAGAAAATGTGTTAAAAAGAATTCCAAGAGAAAATTCTTTCAGTGATGACTCTTGGTTGAATTCATTTGAAAGTCATTTGGCAGAACGTCGCTTAAATGTAATATCTACTAATCCAAGGAAAAAAAGAGTGACTGTTCCAGCTGGTAAAAGTATATCAGAATTGAATACAGAAATAGTTGATACAAACAGTATCTCAAATGATATTGAAGACTTAGAAGTAGTTTTTTCTGAAGAACCAGTAATTGATAGCATTAATAGTGAACCTGAAAATAATCCTATTATTATTGTCATACCCACAACAGATCAACTTCCTGGGCCGAGTGGTAATAATAATCAAGATGATGATGATGAAGATGAAGTGTTCGATACAAAAAACCTTAGAGTAAACGATTATGTATTGGTAAAATGTCTTTATAATAAGAACTCTAAAAAAGCCAAATTTAAAACGTTCCCATGCCTTATTAAACATATAAGTAAGGGAATAAATGGTATAAAGTTTATTTGTAGTTTTTTAAGACAGTATAAAGGGAGAAGTGAAACATATGTATTTCCAAATGTTGAAGATGTTATGGAAGTATCTGAAGAGAACATTTTAAAACGTTTGATGGTAATCAAAGAACATAGAAATACATTTACTTTTAATATGTAAACTAAAAGACTGTTTGTAACATGAATTCCTAATTTATATTTACAAATTATAAGACTTATTTAGTAGATACCTAAAGAAGAAAGTTACCTGTTATTTAATATTTAACAATTATGTTATTATTTTTTAATTTTTAATGTTATTTTTTGTTTAATACTTTATAAATTGGTTAACAAGGAAGTTACCTACCTACTTAATATTTAATACTTAACAAGAATATTATTATTTTTAATTTTTAATGTTATAATTTGTTTTAATACTTTATAAATTGGTTAACAAGGAAGTTACCTACCTAATTAATATTTAATACTCTACAAGAATGTTGTTATTTTTAATTTTTTAAAGTTATTTACAAATTTTAATAATTTTTTGATTGGTTAACAAGAATGTTTTTATTTTTTTGTATATGTTAATATACACTCACCAGGTACAAAATATATTTTTTAAATTCAGAAAATTATCTAGTATTTTTTAAAAATTTAAAATAGTGCCCCAAGTTGGTTTGAGTAAATTATAAAATAGATTTTTCATAAGAAAAACATGAATGCCCCATGTTGTCGATATTCGGTACAACATGGGGCAAGCAGAAAAATAAAAAAAACACATAGAAAGAATAATTTGTATGATTCAACTGCAACAGAAATTAATAAATTAAACCTTAACTAAAAAAAAATGTTATATTGAAAATAACTGTAGAATAATTAGACTTAAAGTTATTTATAATAGAATTTCAAAACTGCCCCAAGTTGGCCTGGTTGACGGTATATAAAACAGTAAGCTGATTGACTGCTATCAACGCACAGCTCAAACCATTGGACGGATCTGGCTGAAATTTGGCATACAGATAGCTATTATGATGTAGACGTGCGCTAAGAAAAGATTTTTCGAAATTCGCATTTTAAATAGGTGCTCAAACAGGGACATTGAGATTCAAGATGGAAATTAGAAATTTTATTTTTATTTATTAATAGTTGTCATTGGTTACAGTCTACATTAGAAATTAGCATTTATTTATTGGTTGCCATTGGTTATTCGGGCAGATCAGGTACAAGCTTGCATCAAATCAAATTATTGAACATTGCCTACCAGGGTGGCTGAGTTGCACTTACCCCAGCAAGTTACACCCAAAAGGAGTTCAACAATCATAATTTTTTTAAGAGTTGTGATTTTTTACGAGCAACCAAATTTATTATATTAATCCACCGTATTATATCAAAATAAACTTGGTATAACTTTGATAATTTAGAGTTAAATCATACACTTCCGTACAAATAGCACGGGGTCCGCGATCTACCGCAGGTAGATTGCCTACCTGATAATGTACTGCTGCGATTCAGAATTTTTATTACGGGCAACGGAAAAGAGAAGATAAATTTTGAACACCATACACCGAATATTGAATAACGAATTGAACAAAGTTTGAGTCATAACTCATATTGAGTTGATACATTTAAAGGGCGACGAAGTGCACGGGATCAGCTAGTATTATATATTATAATTGGGCCATACTAATTAATATGAATAATTAATGATCGAGTATTATTTATTTTTATTATTATTATTAGTACCTATTTACTCACAAATCTATTGTCTGGATAAAAACAATACTACAAACAATTATCCATCGATCTGTCGAATAAAAATATAAAAAAAATAATAAAACTATCAATAATAAATAATTCCGGATACTTCTTCTCATTTTTTAAATTAATTAATATTTTTTTCTTTCTTTTTCACTCACTCACGTGTACCATTCAAAAGAAGTTTAACTTCCCGCGCGCGTACTGGTAACACACATGGTTTTTTTCTTTTTTCTTTAATGATATCAATAAAGTTTTAAATATTCTTACTCAAAATGTCTATTATTTGCTGATGACACTAAAATATTTAAAAAAAAAAAAAAACTAACACTAAATATCATTATTTACAACTAATACATAGATCGCGGCTATGACAAGATTAGAAATTGCCTAAATGTTGCCCCTTAAATAATGCCCGTAGCGGGGCCCCGAGCTGACTCTACTGACTCAGATAATTTATATAAATAGTGAAACAATAATGGAATAATAAAGGAAATTCAAAGAGAATATTTCTTAATATGACTAATTAAGTCATTTCAAATGTCAGTTACAATTCCAATAAGTTCTGGAACTTATAAACTAATAAACGGTACCTACGTGGTTGTAGTTCCGGTGTCCAAGCGTGAGGGTGCTGATCAAGGTAGTACACCGTACGGGATGTGTTAGTAAGTTGTAAATGATTATTAGTGAATGAAATTAAATGAGGGTATCTTCTCTCGTACGCGCATGCACATGTCAATAACTCGATAACCATATAAATTTCACTACACAAATTTTACAAATCATACATTTGTTTTGACAAAATTAAAGTTAGTTAACGAATAACGGTGTTTGTTTTTTGATTCTGAAAAAATATTTGAATTCAGCATATAAATATCTGTAGAACGAAAGAAACATTTTAGGTTTTTAATATTAATTATGATTCGAAAAAGTTCAAGTTATCGAGTTTTCAAATACAGTTCACAATAGGTACCTAATATAAAATTTATTTTTTACAAAGTGCTTCGTAGAAAGACAATTTTCTGGTGAGTTCAAATTGTTTTTCAGAATCAAAATCGGACTACGTTAACTAACTTTAATTTTGTCAATACTCTTTTCATCTAAAATTGACAGCGAGTCCCCTATAGGTAGGTAGTAGGTACCTACCTACTTTAAGAACAGCGGCAAACAAACATATTGAGGGGTTAGTCTAATTTACTGATTTACTGATTTACTGATTTACTGATTTGGGGCCATAGCGCCCGTAGCATGGGCAAACTAAGTGCGAATAAGTTCAAACTTCACAAGTGCCATTATAATACCCCCCTCCAACTCCCTACCAAATTCCAGGTTGCCCCGTCGATTTTCACTTCCGGGTTACTTGTCGCCGAAATATCACAAACTTAAAAACTTAACCAAAAATTATGAAATTTTTTACTCGGCATAAGTTGTACCGTATTTAAATATGGGGAAAATCTCAAGTGCCTACCTCGAAAACCCATGCAGTTATAAGACAAATCAGTAATTTATTCACATACATAATCGAATCAGTAAAATCACGCGCCGCCGTCCAGGAAAACTGCTGATTTGCTCTTACACTCGCAATACTTAACCAAAAATTATGATATTTTTTGCACGGTACGTGTTGTACCGTATTTAAATATGGGGAAAATTTCAAGTGCCTACCTCGAAAACCCATGCAGTAATAAAACAAATCAGTAATTTATTCACATAATCAAATCAGTAAAATCACGCGCCGCCGTCCAGGAAAACTGCTGATTTACTCTAAAACCCGCAATAGTTTATAGAAAATAATGAAATTTTTTACACGGTAGAGGTTGTACCGAATTTAAATACCTTGGAAATTTCAAGTGCCTACCTCGAAAACCCATGTAGTTATAAAACAAATCAGTAATTTATTCACATAATCGAATCAGTAAAATGACGCGCCGCCGTCCAGGAAAACTGCTGATTTGCTGTTACACTCGCAATAGTTTATAAAAAATTATGAAATTTTTTACACGGCATGAGTTGTACCGTATTTAAATATGGGGAAAATCTCAAGTGCCTACCTCGAAAACTCATGCAGTTATAAGACAAATCAGTAATTTATTCACATAATCGAATCAGTAAAATCACGCGTAGCAGTGCAGGAAAACTGCTGATTTGCTCTTACACTCGCAATACTTAACCAAAAATTATGAAATTTTTTACACGGTAGGGGTTGTAACGTATTTAAATACCTTGGAAATTTCAAGTGCCTACCTCGAAAACCCATGTAGTTATAAAACAAATCAGTAATTTATTCGCATAATCGAATCAGTAAAATGACGCGCCGCCGTCCAGGAAAACTGCTGATTTGCTCTAAAACCCGCAATAGTATATAGAAAATTATGAAATTTTTTACACGGTATCGGTTGTACCGTATTTAAATACCTTGGAAATTTCAAGTGCCTACCTCGAAAACCCATGTAGTTATAAAACAAATCAGTAATTTATTCACATAATCGAATCAGTAAAATCACGCGTAGCAGTGCAGGAAAACTGCTGATTTGCTCTTACACTCGCAATACTTAACCAAAAATTATGAAATTTTTTACACGGTAGGGGTTGTACCGTATTTAAATACCTTGGAAATTTCAAGTGCCTACCTCGAAAAACAATGTAGTTATAAAACAAATCAGTAATTTATTCGCATAATCGAATCAGTAAAATGACGCGCCGCCGTCCAGGAAAACTGCTGATTTGCTCTAAAACCCGCAATAGTATATAGAAAATTATGAAATTTTTTATACGGTATCGGTTGTACCGAATTTAAATACCTTGGAAATTTCAAGTGCCTACCTCGAAAACCCATGTAGTTATAAAACAAATGAGTAATTTATTCACATAATCGAATCAGTAAAATGACGCGCCGCCGTCCAGGAAAACTGCTGATTTGCTCTTACACTCGCAATAGTTTATAAAAAATTATGAAATTTTTTACACGGCATGAGTTGTACCGTATTTAAATATGGGGAAAATCTCAAGTACCTACCTCGAAAACTCATGCAGTTATAAGACAAATCAGTAATTTATTCACATAATCGAATCAGTAAAATCACGCGTAGCAGTGCAGGAAAACTGCTGATTTGCTCTTACACTCGCAATAGTTTATAAAAAATTATGAAATTTTTTACACGGTAGGGGTTGTACCGTATTTAAATACCTTGGAAATTTCAAGTGCCTACCTCGAAAAACAATGTAGTTATAAAACAAATCAGTAATTTATTCACATAATCGAATCAGTAAAATGACGCGCCGCCGTCCAGGAAAACTGCTGATTTGCTCTTACACTCGCAATAGTTTATAAAAAATTATGAAATTTTTTACACGGTAGGGGTTGTACCGTATTTAAATACCTTGGAAATTTCAAGTGCCTACCTCGAAAACCCATGTAGTTAT